AAGGAAGGGAGGCTTTTGGTTAGAGACCTATTGGTATTTGGAGCCTGAGCGGTCCGACTAGTCCATATGATTTTAAGACATGTGTGGCACAGTTGGGAAAGATAATCGAAAGAGGTCCCTAAAAGATGTTGACGCTGACGCCATATGGGTACTTATACCGCCATTGAAACGTTGCGATATGGAACAAAAGTAGAGGCCACAAACAAGATTGGGAGGGACAATTACTTTGTGAGCTGAGGAAGTATGGCAGTGGCAGACGAGAGGCAAAAAACTCAATTATGTGACCGGGAACTTTCGATTTCGTTAGGGGGAGCAAGCATATAGTTCTAGGGTATCAGACAGACGTCGAGTTTCATGAGGGTGTGACTTATACAAATGTGAGCCTTTGTCGATGCTCAAAAGGAGAGAAAGCTTGGTGTGGAAACCTATATTCATTTGGCTGCCTGAAAGGTCGGGTTGTTCCATTATGGTTAAGATTGTGTGCCACCGTAGTAAAGAGTTTCTATGGTGGCCTTGGATGTTGACAGCTGAACGGTAGTGGTACCTATTACCACCCATTGTACCCTTGGACACAGTTATATGACCAAATTGAGAGGACATAAGCAAGGGGATTGGGGACGTTTTTGGGTGTGTGTAAGCATGTGTGGGGTGCCGTGAGGCACATTTTAGCATAGTTGGTGTCAGGTTAGGGCAGTGGGCACAGGTAGGGGGCCATAGGCAAAAGATTATGGTATCAGAACAGGAGACGAGTATATTGCTGCTGTTACTTATATCAATGAGAAAGTTAGGCGATGTCGGCCGATTCTCAAAAGATGAAAGGCCTTCGTTTGAGACCCCTATGGCATTGGTAGCCTAGACGCGGGATTAGTCCAAAGGGTTTAAGAATGAGAGGCAACCAGTAGGAAAGAGAATCTAGCGAGTCTGGGATTTTTCACTGTCGGTTTGTGCACTTAGCGCCACGATTGAAGAGTTGCGAATAGGACCAGAGGAGGTGCCGAATAAACGATAAAACAAGTGTTGTGGGTTATCATGGTGGAGGAATAGTGTAGGCATAGTTGACGGCTAAGGTTGTATAACAATCATCTTATAGATGGAAAAGGATAGTGATTTTATATTGGTTCTTAGTGGCACAGGAAGTCTTGAGGGAGATTCTCGTGTTGGGAGGGATAGATAAGTGATATTATATCAGATGGTTTAGCTGCGTTCCTTTCGGTATCATGTAATCAGCATGTGATTCCATGTTAATAATGAAAGGGGGCAGTCGTTGAATTTAATAGCAGTATATAGGGGATGTATGGCTAAATTTCGCTGGAGGTTGTTTTGGTCACATGTCTCCATTAGGCGAGCCTTTCAGTCACTTGGAGGCTTACTTGGTCGGAAAGGTGTTTTCGTCGTGGAGTCTCGGTTTGCATTTGTGATTGTTGGCTAGGGACTCGGCAGTCATTGTGGTTCGGTGGGGCTGTGATGATAATTGGGTCCAATTGGGTCACGCGTACTCTTTAAGGTTGTTGGTTATGGAGGTTTACAGCAACCATGCTGCACGGCAGGATGTGGGTTTTTGGGCGCGGGGTGATGTGTTGATGTGGTGCTAGGCCGGGGGGTTTTTTGGCGTGGCAGGTGCTGGTTCCGGAGGGGGTGGGTTGGGGATGGGTTTGTTTATTCGGTTAGGAGGTGCACGGGTGGCACCGACCGGTGAACTCCAGTGGGGAACTGGGAATGGGGGGGGTATGAGTGGTAGTGGGGGATTGATGGGGGGCAGAGTTGGAGTAGGGGGGTGGTTGGTTCGCAGGGTACAGGGAGTATTTGGCTATGACTGTGCGACAAAACTGGTCGGGAGTGCAGTTTGGACTATAGAAGCTGGTTGCTGAGTTTGTACAGGCCACTCACACCACACCACTCTTGCAGCTAGGTGGTGGACATGGGTTTTGTTTGTGTATCTCTGGCGGGGGGTAATGCGACGCGGGAGTAGAAGCAGCACGGGGGGAGGTGTGGGGGTGGAGTGTCACTGACGGGTGGAGGTGCGGAAGGGTCACTGTTATAAATACGTGACAGCCGTGGCCTATGTCTCGAATACTGCCTCATATTAGTTCCTTTCGAACGCATCCAGCAAAGGGCGGGAAGTTTGGTGGGATGGGGGGTTAGGTATGTAGGGAAGGATAATTTAGGAGTAGGTGAGCATTTATGGAAAAGGGGGTAAGGTATTTCATGTAGGTTGAGTGGCAATTTATTAGGGGTTTGGTGCAAGCGGGGGGAGTCGGCGTAGAGAGGTTTTGTGTGGTTGCAGGAGTCGGGGCGTGCTCTTTCTCGTTATGTTTGTTCCGGTTTATTGTTACAGGTCTCGTCTGGGCACTTTTCAGGAAATGGGCGTGACCTAGTGTGGTGAGGCGACCAAAGAATTTCCAAGAGTTTTGGGTGATTGAATGACGGAAATGGAGGAAGGGGAAGTGGAGGGCCACGTGATGAAAATGTTAGGTAGGAATAGAGGGTGTGTAAGAGGTCTAGGACGACGTTATTTGGTGAGAGGATATTTAGAGCTGAATGAGCCAGAGGTCAGTGAGAAAGGGTCACGGATTGTTGGCGTGTAGGTGTAGAAAGCTGTCGGTTCTACTATGGGGCAGCGACAACGTTGCGTGGTTGCCTCACATGAGTGAAAGGTAAGGGAGTAGCTCATTGGGAGGCGTGGTCATCAATTTTCTACTCTCTGCGTTGGTTGCAGTTATGACAAGGGGGTAGGAGGGGTGGGGCATTCCTCAGCACAAGAAGGAATGGGGTTTTTGGCGTGCAAAACAGAAGGGCGTTCTGCTGTAGGTGAGGGTACAGCACATTGCTATACCCTCCTGTTTGGGACGTTCTATCCGTTGCATCATAATACGTGATAGTCAAGATTTGTCGGAAGACAATAGGGGGGGGTGGCACTTGTTTGGTTGGAATAGGTAGAGGGGAAAACGGAGTGTTTAGTGAAGATAAGGGGGGGTATTGATGGTGATAAGACTTAGTGGACCGATAGAGTAGGAGAGAATAAATTGCGGGTTAGCTTAAGATTGGGGGTCGTGGGCGTTGGAGGCTGACTGAAGACAAGTAGTGGACGGTGAGATTAGCGGATTGCGTGGGCCAGATTGGGCTCTGTAAGTATTGTTTATTTGAAATGTCAAAGAAGCGGTGTGGAGCAGGAGAAGTCAGGGGAAGAGATGGACGAGTTTACGGGGGGGTAGTTCATGAAGGATGGGGTAGAATGGTAGAATATTGGATCAATTTGTTGTGGAAGATTATAAGTCCTCGGACAGGGAGGAGGGGTCGTGATCGTTGAGGAAGTATAGAAGAGAAGTTAGGGAGATGGGTGTTGTTTGTTTATGACTGATTGGTGTAGAGGACGACGTGGGTGTTTGAGTGAGGGGGGAGGGGCCCCACCGTCACACACGTTCTTGAGTTCGTTGGGCGAACAGGTGCGAGTGTGGGTCCGGTGGGGACAGTAGACGTGACGCATATTGCCTGGCCAGGGCCGAAGAGCCTAGGTTCGGAAATGACCCTGGACGGAGGCACTGTGCCCGACTTTTCGGGCGAGATGATCACTGGGGGCGTATTGTGGGGGGCCGTGTCGGGTTCCTAGATTCGGCACACCTAATCCACAACTGCCAGAACAAACAAGCTTATGGACAAAGTGGAATATACGTGTGAGAGAACGGTATCAGTAAGGCGGGGATCGATTGGAATCATCTCCTATTGGAAAATTCTACGGAACCTTTTCAGCGGCTCGTTCCAAAACGATGCGGACAATGGTATAGGGGGTGTAGTTGTTGGCCATAAGAATCCAGGAACAGGGCTTGGGTCCTTGCGTGCCCACACTCTCTTGGAACGGGCGTGAGGATGGCCGGAGCGGGGTGGGGGGTGATTGGCAGGCGCTTCGATGGACTCTGGACGTAGGGGGGGATGCTGGCCTCAAGTAGGAGGTCGAAGGTATGGACTATGTGGTCGGGAATGTAGGACTAGGGGGCGGACGCGAGTAATGACTCGCGGAGCGCCGTGTGGTCTCCGGAGCATGTACTGTGCAGCAGTCCTCTGATGGGTTGCGGCTGGATTGGTTGCATAATAGGACCGTACGGGATTTGGGGTGATCCTGGGGTAGTGGGGCTTGGAGTGAGGAGTCGTGTGCGGAGGGCTCCCGCGGGAACCTAGGAAGGAGCATTTCGAGGGGAAAATAATCGCGACGTGGAGAGGATGGAGGAGTGGGGACTGGACGTGGAGTTCCAACGGCGTGTTCTGGAGGCTCTTATTGCGAGGGGCTTTTTTTTTGGATTCGGCGGGGAATCGCTGACGGTGCGACGCGAGTTCTCGCAGGCCCTGTGAGCAGCCCGGTGCGGGGAGCGGTGCGGGGATGCCTGGCACGTGGGAGTCGGGCGCTCCTAGGGACGATTGCCATGACCTGCTTATGGACTAGGGAGAGGGCACTACTGCACCGGAAGGGATGGATGGGAGATACTTGTCGGGGTGGAATTTCCCGTGGGAATCTTATGATATCATACTGTGTTAGCGATGTCGCTCTCCCCGATTGGAGGGAAGGTCTCGCCTCCCATCATTTGGTGGGGGAGAGTTACGCCGGATTGACGATGGGGACGTCGGGGGGGGGGGAGAATGGAATGGACGCGGTGGAGTCAGGGATCGGCGGACGGGCTGGAGGGGGAGGACGTTTGGAGGGGCCTGGCGGGTGGCGGTGCTGGTGGCCGCTACGGGGCGGGGGATGGGGCGGATCGTAGGTTAATATGGTGAGGTGGACCCGGCATTGAGCTCTTGGGGGTCACCGGGATTATGCTAGGACGTAGGTACGGGGGGGGTGGTAGGCTGGGTGGACGGAGCTGACGGGGGTCGGGTCTCTCCTTGGGGGAGGCCGGGCCGGAGGTGGAGGGAGGAGGATAACTCGCAGGACTGTCGGAGACGGATTTGGATATTGAGCCTTTAGTGGTCGGTGTACGGGCCCGGGAGATGGTAGTTGGGGCTTTCCCAAGCGGTCTGGTCGGAGCCTTGTGCTCTAGTCCCACATTTACTTGAGTAATTTCAGGTGACATTGTGGGATGGTTCGAATCTATGGTAACCTAGTAGGTGTCGGGAGTGGAGGGGGGGGTGGCGAGGATGGGAGCTCCGGGTGGCTCATACCTCGCCCGGGCAGCGGAGATATGGGCTCCCTGGTGGTGCCTCGTGAGGCATGCGCAGTAGCCTGCTGGGGGGAGCCGGGCACTTATACGATGGGGGCAAATATTACACAATAAGGTGGGTCTTGCTCATGAAAACGCGGGGAATGGACGGGCCGTGGCAGCGTCCGGAGACGCTTGCTCCTGCCGGATTGGGAGCGATCGAGAGAGGATCGGTGCAGTCCTCCAACCGGCAATCCCGCCGGCCCCCCTCCCCCCCTTCCCCCACGCTCCCCTCCGCCCCACTTGTAATGGTATAAGTAACAGCATCATGATTTTCGTCTCCCTCCGATTCATTATCTGTATGTCTAATCCCAGGCGTCGCTATATTTTCTTTGCTACTGTGGCTGACTAGCCGAACAACTTCCTGGCTGGCCAGCCGAACAACCTCCTGGCTGGCTAGACGAACAACCTCCTCGTGGTGCCAGCTGGGTGGTTCGGGTTTAACCCGTTCCAGCATATAGTTCGGCGGCAGTGTTCCAGGACGTGGTGGGTTTCCGCCCGGCAAGCGTTCTCCCTATAAAAAGCCACAAAAGTCTGCTTATCAACACTGTGACGTATCGGATGTGACTCGCCGCAAAATAAAGTCATTGGGCCGTGGACATCCGGAAAATGGTATCCAACTCACGTACACCAATCGCTTTTTCTCACATTCCTACCGATAACAAACAGTCGAAAATTCTGCGGTACATTCAAAAATACAAGCTACATTCCTAGACAATTACATACATATATACACCCATATATATATATATATATACACCCATATATACACCCACGCGCTGTTATGCAAAACATGTACTCTTTGTACATTTTGATCACACTACGTTAGCTAAACATGATCATGCCTGTACTGGTGTGCCTCGCATTGTCGAAAATAAAAGTTTATTTATTGATTTTTTTATTTATTTCGAACTAGTCCGGCCTCTCAGGCTTAAAATGCCTATAACTCTCAAACCATGGCTTCTTTTCATTTGAGCATCGATCAAAGTTCTCATTGGCATAAGTAACAGCCTCATGTACTCACCTCCGCCTGATACATTAGCTGCATGCTTGCTCACCCTACCGAAATTGCGTTTCCATGTCTCTGATTGAGTACTGCTTATCGGCGACACTATCATTCTTCTCAGCTCACAATTACGTCCCCCTCTCTTGTTTGGCCTCTCTTTTGGCCCATATCGCAACGGTTTTATGGCAGTATAGGTACCCATAGCGTCCGCGCAATCTCCTATGCCTCGTGTGATTATCTTTCCTACTGGGTCTCTCTTCCTTAAACCTTTTGGGCCAGTCCGGCCTCTCAGGCTCTAAATTCCCATAGGTCTCAAACCAAAGCCATTCTTCTTTTGAGCATCGGCTGCCATGGATAAAATTCTCATTGGTATAAGTAACTGCCTCATGTTCTCGCCTCCGTCTGATAAAATATCTGTATGCTTTGTCCACCTACCGAAACCGAAAGTTCCGGTCCTTGATTAATTTTGCCTCTTGGCTCCACTATCATTCTTCTCAGCTCACAATTATCTTCTCCCTCTCTTGTTTGGCCTCTCTTTTGGTCCATATAGCAACTGTTCAATGGTGGGTTAGGTTCCCATGGCGTCACCATAAAATACTGGGCCTCATTTGAGTCGCTTTCCTAATGCTCCTTGCGGTCTTAAACTGTTTGAACCACAACAGCCTCAGGCTCCAAATGCCTATAGGTCTCAAACCAAGGCCTCTTTCTTTTAAGCATCGGCTATCATCGACTAAAATACTCACTGGTATAAATAACTGCCTCATGATACTCGCCTCCGTCTGATACATTATCTATATACTTGCGCCCCTCCCGAAATTGTAATTTCCGGTCCCTGATTGCGTTTTGCCACTCGGCTCCACTACCATGCTTCTCAGCACACAACTACGTCCCCCTCACTTGTTTGGCCTCTCTTTTGGTCTATATCGCAACGGTTCAATGGCGGCATAGGTTGCCATAGCGTCAGCGCAACATCCTGGACCTCGTTTGCTTATCTTTCCTACTGTGCCTTTCATTCTTAAACCTTTTGGGCTAGTCCGCCTTCTCAGGCTGCAAATGTCTATAGGTCTCAAGGCAATGCCATCAGCGCCAGATGCTGAGCACTTGAACTTCTTCGGCTCTCATAAACTCCTGTGTTTAACCGTACTCTATTTATACTTTCTCGGCATCTCGGCTGGTCATCGGAAATCTTGGGGTGGAAACTTAGCATTTGGCAGGGCTGTCTACATTATTCCCTTACCTTTAGTCACTTCCAGGGCCGGCACTACTCTCGTTTTCTCTCTACAGCTGTCGCAAGTATTGCTGTCTGTTCTCTCTCTTGTATTCCACGCTGTACACCTATCAGACTATACTGAGCGTAATAAAGCGTGCCGCTCCTGTATACTAACTAACCAGGCTGCCAGCAACTCACCAATTAGTGAGTTATAACTAGCAGTCTATTTGACTTCAACCCTCCACCGTGGATGTCCACATCAGAGTGGCACACTTAGCATTCTTTGCGGCTGCTGCCCACAATACTGCTACTCCAGGTCCCCTTCAGCGCTGGCCCTACAACCATTTTCTAACCAAACATGCAGTATTCAAGTCCTTCTCTCTCCTGTTATTAAAATGGAAGGCCTGTCACAAATTTGGCACTCCGTCTCACCCCTGCACCCATCTGTTTAGCATCCGATTAATGAACGTTACGTTATTATTTTCATGGGTCTCAAACCCGGCGTAATAACTTCACTGGCTCTCGTATATGTTCGGACGATAAGCTCTAGCACAGTCAACTGATCGCTCAACCTATATCTTAAGCGCTTATTAAACCACTCACTATGTTCTTCTGATTCCCTCAACTCATTTGCTGGTTAACGAAACCAAATACTCACGGCTTCAAAACAGGACAACTTTTGGGGGCGCTAGGCCACTTTGGCCAGCAGCTTCCTCTCACATTCCTCAAATATCGGGTCTCGTGTTTGAACGCAAAGCGACGGATATGATGTATAACATATACGGTTACTCCCTTGCTTTTAAGCAGCACAACTTTACCACAAATTTTATATTTATGCAATAACATAGGCCTGTTCAATTTTGTTGGCAATTTGCTCGGTCAGCTTTTATTCTAACCCTTGTTCTACAGGATAACATTGCTCGCACGGAATACCGCTGAGAACATACCTGCGACGCTCCCATTGGCACGGAATCGATAAAAAGCAAAGCAAAACCCGCACTTCGTAAGCCTGACACACTAAAGAACCTAGAAAACTAATCAACTCAATACAAGTAACCTGAGTCATCCGACTTCAACAGCTCCAATTACTTGTAGTCGACACCGAAGGCAACTACACAACCATGAGCAACGAGTTGGCGTTAGGTGGCTGCGAAAATCCGCGCGGATAATCGGTCAGATGTAATCTTGTCAATGTCATATCACAAGTCGGCAGTGTTCCAGGACGTGGAGAGTCTCGTCTGGCAAGCGTTTTCTCCACAAAAAGCCTCAAATGTCCGTTTAACAACACTGCGACGTGGCGGATGTGACTCGCCACTCAATAAAGTCGCCGCCCCTGACACACATCGGCAAGTTGACCGATATCACATTTACAAGTTCTGTGCATACATTTGCTCTCGCACGAACACGCCTACGTATTTGAGTAGTGACATGCCACTATTCTTAAGTATTTTTCATCCGTTTCCCCATGCTTCACTTACTTGACCCACACTGCTTACTGGACCTCAGCGGACTAGCTCTCCATAAACCTACCATATAAGTGATCTGATTATTATCTCCACCTCTCGCATTCTTTGGACATAGACTTCATACAATCTTTGGGGCATATGAGCCCCGCCACAGTCTCCAACTGTACTACTCCCGCTGTAGGTACTGCTAGTTCCGCTATCATGTAAAATATTGCAATATGCTGATCATGCCCAAAAGGCGTGTCTCGCTTTGTCGAGAAAGAAATATTTATTTATAAAGCAAGCGATTCTAAACGTGGTACAACCAAGTGCATAGGCTCAATTTGAACAGCTTCATGGTCGCAAGCTAGCATTTTGTGAGCCTACGGCGGTGGTTAACCACATTTGTCTCATCGCTGGTCTCTTATCTTTGAACAAAGGATAAGACGGATGGTATTTATGTCTTTCAGAGCCATTGCCGGTAATGCTGTCCATGCTGGTGGATATGTACGTAAGAAACTAGCTACTTAGGCAGCCGCTGCTTTCGTAGTTTTCCGCAGCAGACGACTAGTGGCTTCGGTGACGTATTTTCACCGATGAACACCGAAGTTCATAGTTGCTCCAAGTCGTCAGGCCAACCTGAACCCAAGAAATTTTGCTAGTTCGCAGCAGGATGGCAGCAACGAAGGCTTCAAAGCGGCGTTGACCATGATCAGATGTTGGCCGTGTTTTGGCTACCGTTCCTTGCGGCCCACTTGGGCACGAATCGTGTACGTCTCGTTTGGCACGAAAGCGCAACATTCACCCTGCAGTACTCAGTCTGATACTAAGAAGCCCGTCAATGAAGTACGTTGGTGAAAGAGCTAGACGTTTGCGGGCTCCCTGCATTAAGCTTGACCCAGCCGCTTCAGGAAAAGCGAATGAACCTCATGCTAGCGAGACCAACTTCTCCATCAATAACCAAACTACTCGCCAGTATTAGGTTAAGGAGCGAAGTTCTTTCATCACGCTTCTCATCCACATGAGGGCAGGAGCCTGCATCATCCATACAACCGCGAAGGACAGGCACTCCATGCCTACATACAACCTGTGTGCGGCCAACGGTACTACGATAGCCAAATTCGGCCGGCGTATGATGAGCTTGGACCTCAATCTTCGCCGAGAGTCTCAACGTGTCTCGATAGTAGTGTCTGCACCCTCCGCAATTGGCGGT